AGCCGACTCCGCGAGGCGTGCGGCGCGCCGTTGGACGCGGGGGCGCCAGCGTAGCCGCGGCGCCGCAGTTGAGCCCCGGCGGGAGTCCGACGTTAGGGAGCCCTGCCGCCCGCCGCACGTACGTGTCCGACTACATTTCCCAGAGCGCTCCTCGGCAGAACGTGATCTCGCGTCATTTCAGCCTCAAAGTCACGCGCTGGGGGGACCCGTGGGTCTACACCAGCAACTGTTGAACTGCCGTGGAGGCGGGTTCTGTCGCTTTGCAAGCTCCCGAGGCCTGAGGTGAGGAGCCCGAGGAGGGGCGGGGCCCGAGCCCGAGCCTCGGCTTTGTGCCGCGGAGATCAGATTCAAATTGTGTGGTTTTCGTCTACATGGTGGTACGTGGTGACTGACCGTGTGGGTGTGACTTGCCGTTCCAGTGATTACCGTGTGCGGCACAGTCTGGGAGCCTGTGACTGCTGGTGTGACGGGACGGTACCCGGGGTGTGTGTGTGTGTGTGGCTGGGGCCACGTGCGGCTTTGTATGTGCGGGTGTGGAGAGCTTTGGGCTCGGTGGATGTGATAGCGTTTGCCCCCGTAGGGGCGTGTGGTTGTGCGACCGTGCGCTGTAGGTGCATGTGGGGGTGCCTGTGAATGCTGCGAGGGTTTGTCTGTGGTCAGTGTGATTGGGACGGTGCGACCACGTACGGTACGTGATCCTTGTGACCGTGCGGGGCCCCGGGTGCTGGGTTACCTGTAGCTTTAAGTTCCCGTAGTGTTTATGTGATTTGCGTGACTGGATAAATGTATGAGGCTTTTTTCACTTGTGTATACCTCTCTAAGCATTATACTGTAGTTTTCCCTGGTTTTTAAACTTTATATGAATGCTGCCCTTTATCTTTTATTTTTGCTTATTTGTACAGCTATGTTTTAGAGAATTTTTCATGTTAGATATAATAGTGGCTCCTTGCTCTTTGCTATATTGTATCCATCCCTCCTTTGATCTACAGCTTCTCATCCTTTCTAGTACTGATGGACATATGAGTTATTTCTAGTTTGTTTGTTTTACTTTGTAAACAGCATTCTTTTACATAAGATACACGTGCCTGAGTTTATCTGCCAATGGAATTGCTAGGTTGTCTGATATCTTCCACTTTACTAAATAATGCCAAAATATTTACCCAAGTGGGTGCACCAGTTTATATTTGCACAGCAGTGTTTGAAGCATTTCATCTTATATCCCTACCAAAATATGGTTCTGATAGTTTTGAAAACATTTTTATGAGATACATTTATATGGTACAGTGCACAAAAGTTAAGTATACCACTGTACAACAATTTCCTAGATCAATTTAAAGAACTTTGCCAGCATGCCCAGAAGTTCCCCTCATACCCCTTCCCAGTTACTTTTCTCTCACAATCACTAATCAGAAACCTGTCTGAACCATTAGTTAGTTTTACCCATTCTTGAACTTAATATATAAATAGAATTATATAGCATGTACTTTTTTATGTGTGCCTTCTTTTGTTCCATATTATGTCTGAGATTCATCTATGTTGTTGAGTGTAATTGTACTTAGTGCTCATTACATTTGGGGATATATTACAATTTAGTAATTGATTACATTGTTGATGGACATTTGATAGTTTCCAGTTTTGGGCTATTACAAATTAATTGGTAGTGGGTACCAGGTTTCTCCCATGTAAAATTACAATTTTTCTCTTTTTAATTAGTATCTTGTGCCTAGCTGCTTTGAGACTATGCAAAAATAATATTTCTCATCATATTTTCACCCATTAAATTTAACATTCATTGGTAATTCTTGTCTGTAATAATTATTACTGTGATGATCTCTTTCCATCATTCCTTCTACATTTATTAATTTAAATTCTACTGTAAGGAAGAACTGTCCTTATTCGTCATGTGTTTATTTGATTATTTACTTATGAACTCATGGACATTTATTTTATCCTATAAGTGTTAATTCATTATTATTATAATATATTTTATTGCTAAATTGTCCCAGATTTGGCCATTAGGAACTCCTTCAAGTTGCCTCCTGTGTCCTTTCAACATGCCATCATTTTTTGAGCACTTCCTTACTTTCTGGCTTCGAGATGTTCCAGGCTTATCTTGTATTTTTCCCTTCTCCAGTCCTGGAATCAGCAATTTTCCAAGGAGACCTTGTTTCTTTTATTGCAGAATGGATTTATAAACCAAGCTCTGGGCACTAGGTATACTCAATGCTATCTGGATATAATTGCTCTAGTTTTTGTCAGTGGACAGAGCTAGAAATATACAAATGTGTATATACACAATCTATAGCTATTTATCTATCTACCTATTTATTTGTATACATTAAAAAGCCACTAGTTTAGCCCGGATGGTGTGGCTCAGTGGTTGAGCATCAACTAGGAGGTCACAGTTCAGTTCCCAGTCAGGGCACATGCCTGAGTTTTGGGCTGGATCCCAGTAGGGGGCGTGCAGGAGGCATTGGATCAATAACACTCTCATCAATGATGTTTCTCTCTCTCTCCCTCTCCCTCTCCCTCCCTCTCTCTGAAATCAATAAAAACATATATATATATATGTATCTTTATTGATTTCAGAGAGAGGAAGGGAGATAGAGAGAGAGAGAGACAGAAACATCAATGATGAGAGAGTCATTGATCGAGCCCACAACCCAGGCATGTGCCCTGACTCGGAATCGAACCCCGATCGCCTGGATCCTAGGTCGACGCTCAGCCTCTGAGACATGCCCGGCCAGGCAAAAAAAACACATATATTTTTTAAAAAGCCACTAGTTTATACTTTCAATTCCAACCCAATACCACAGGATTCTGTCAAGAACTGTGAAGTGTCTGAGATTTAACCTACTTGTTTGTTAACAAGTTAGCTTGCCACAGTTTCACAGATGCTGGCAGAAGACATGAGACTTCTGGGTCAGAAATGAAAGACAGTTTATTGCTCATAGCAATAGCCAAAGTGTCAATACTTTCTTGTACTGGCTCACTTACACCCATAGGGTGATGCAAATGCACAGGTATTTGTGTCTCCCATGAATTTAGGGAACCTAAATCTTATGTAATGGGCAACAAGCATGCCTGCCCTTTGCTCTGAAGAGAGAATATCTCTGTCTTTAAGGCTGCTCATAAACATCTTGGAGAAATAGTACATAAACATCTTGGAGAAATAGTACAAAATAATAGCACTTAGTGCTTCCAATGGCAAGATGTACAGATACATGTAAGACTCAAGGAGAATTGTTTCCCATCAAGTTTGGCCATTTCTTATTTGTAACTCCTTTCTCCAACAATGAGAAACCTGTTTCTAGTGTTTCAGTATTTTTTTACTCATATTCTAGAATACATGTAAAGTAGTTTCAGACTTGCTAGCTCATACTTATATAAAACACAAATTTACTAACTACAGTAAAGTATTTGTGTGCAACTTTTCTTCTTTAGCTTTACAGTATAGAGTCAAAAATGGTTTCCAATTTTGCTCTTTTCTTTGCCACCTCTTCAATGTAGTTTTGTTACTCATTTTTATGTGTTTAGCTTTGTGTGTTACACTTTGGGTTCCCCAACATCTCGGTTGCTTGTTGCATGTCACAGTATTTTGAGTATGAAAACATTAATGTGGTTCCTGCCTACCCCCTGTACATAATCAGCCTCATTAGTTTCTGCTTTAGCCTTCTGCTGCTGCTTTTGCACAAATGAGCAGGGACATGTATTCTTTCGAATGATTTCCTTTTGCGATGGACCTAGAGATTATGATGGTAAGTGAAATAAGCCAGTAAGAGAAAGACAAATACCCTATGATCTCACTTATATGTGGAATCTAATGAACAAAATAAACTGACAAACAAAATAGAAACAGAGGCATGGATACATGGAACAGACTGACAGCTGTCAGAGGGGAGGGGAGGCAGGGACTAGATGAAAGAAGGTGAAGGGATTAGCCAAAGAACATCCAGTATATGCATAGCCCATAGATACAGAAAACAGTGTGGTGATGGCCAGAGGGAAGGAGGGGCGGGGCTGGGTGGAGGGGGGCCCAGGGGAGGAAAATGGAGACATCTGTAATAATGTCAACAATTAAAATAAAGAAAAAATAAAATATATATATAAAAAAAGATAGCATACTCTTTTGAACATTGCTGCTTTCACTTAATGATATGTCCTGGACATTACTCCATCACAATTCAGAGACACTCATAGCTTTTGTTTACACAGTTACATAAATATTCCAGTATATGGATTTATGATAGTTTATTCAAACCACTCTTCTATTATGGACATTTCGTGAAACAAAAAACATGGCTTAGAGATCAAGGAATGTATGTTTGAAGTTCCTCAAAGAGACTCTTTAGATCAACTGATTTATTGTTTCTCCCTCTCTCTCTCTTTCTCTTTTTCTCTCTCTCCCCCTCCCTACCTCCCTTCCACTCTTTCTAAATGGAAAAAATATCCTCAGGTAAGGGTTAACAAACAAACAAACAAACAAATAAATAATACTATATAGTCTTGGCCACGGAGATGTTTGGCTTTAAAAAGGAGGAGCAGGTCCCCCAGATGCAAGAATTCAGCTTGTGAGGATACCCCACAGGAGCAAAGATGAAGAGGTTTGGGAATGGGACAAAGGCAGAAGGAGGTATTGAAGTAAGAGTGTTTCCCGCTCATTCCACTTGGAAGGTGCAGCATTCAGGGATGCGCCTTTAACCAGGGAAAGGTCAGGAGGAGAGACCAGAAAGGGAGACCTAAAGTGAGGAGTATCGGAGAAGGAATTTTGTTTCCAAGTCTTTCTGGATTACTGTTGATTCTTTAGTATTTCGTACAGTGCCTGGTATATAGGCTATATGGTTGGTAAAAGAATATTAGGGGCTTCATAAATAGTAATAATATTAAAAGGAGCGCTTTCAGATTTTAAGGAAGAGACGTGTAGATTATTTTGGTTTTAATTTCCTGGAATATATATACACCTGGGGGAATACAGTGAGTAGCCAATAAATAATTGATAACATGGTGCAACTTCCTGGGTGTTTAGTTTTACATGAAATTATCGATAAATTGTTTAATGATCAAGGAGCTTTGTGCATAGAGAGGAATGCTCACTGCCCTTTATACTTTTATAATGCTCAGTTTATTATATTCTTATATCTAATAAGCAAAAAAATTTTTTTCTTAAAAGTTTAAACATAGATCACAAATCGGTTACTTGTCTTAAGCAATTTAGACTTCTATTAGTATTTTAGTATATTCTTTTGGACATTTTAAACATCTTAAGAAGCACATAGCATGTACATGACTGTTAAAATTATTACTTCATTATGTAAAGTCAAAAGCTATTCTAAAGCATCAGTGATGTGGGTGTAGTCAATTTCTACATAATTTCTATACTCAAGTCTTTCCTATTGTTATGCTAATTTTAATAGCTTGCTAAAGTTTCCACTTTTCTGGATTTCAGTTATCTTAAGGTAAGACTCTTAAGGCAGGATTAGAGGATCTGGTTTATCAATCAGTTGTTTCTTGCTCAGGACTTGGGACCTGATTGTACAATCCAAGATCATTGAAACCTGGTTTGACCAATGCATATCCAAATCAAAATGATTACAGTCAACTTTCAGGAATTAATCATTCAAAATTCATATGTTGGTAAAATGATATGTACAAAGATCTTTAGTATAATATTGTTAGACTGGATCCTAATGATCATCATCAGCAGATTGGTAAAATAAAGTATACCTGTTTAATGATGTATAGTTTAGCTAGGGGAATTATGTAACTCTGTATATACTAGTTGGGATCCAGTCCAAGATACATTAAGTTAAAATAGCAAATGTCTATAAACAGTATGTATAATATGCTACAATTTATGTAAAAAAGTTATCTTTGGGTGTATGTATACATATATTCTCCAAGCCATATTAAGTTGTTCAAATCTATCCTGCTCTAGTCAAAGCCTGAGGTTTCTGGAGTTGGGGATAATGAAATATTTGCCCATTCCTCTCCTAATAACCCCTCAAGTGTTTGTGTGGAGTGAACAGAGGGGAAATGATCGTTGTAAGAGCTATAAGGCAAGTGAGATCTTATGTAGCTTCTTTTGCCCCTCCTAGCTCTTTTTCCAAAAGAGGAGTCCAGAGGACGACTGGTCCTTTTCTGCAAATATCAAAGCCATGGCTCAGGTGAGATGCTGTATTTTTGTTTGTTTTGTTTTGTTTTTTGCTCAAATGGAGTCATTTTTATCCCTAGTATATATAAATATTTGCTTTCCTAGTCATGATGCTTTTTGGCGTTAAAAAACAAAAACAAAAAACTTTCAGACAGTTTAGTTATAAGCGATACCTAAGTTCTCTTACCTTTGCTTTGAAGAAAAAGGTCTCTAATAAGCCAGTTCACATATTTCTCTGTTTGTGGAGATAGTTATAGAAAAAAGAAGTGGTTCAATAATCATTGTAAAAGAAAAGAATGTCTGGTTAAAGATCTTTCTTTACACTCTTAATGTGCAGATAACTGTTAGAGGGTCAAGTGGCTCTGAGGCAGTGTCAATCAGATTAAAATTTATCAGAAAATTCCTTATGAATTTCATCAAGAAGCCTTACTTGTTTCCACAAAGAGATTGTGAATTACATAATGTAAAATCTGTCTGACTGAGACCAAGTTTGGGGAAAAAAATGTTTTACACTGCTTCACATGGTCCCCTTTCAGAAAACTAACCCCAATTTTCTCCTAAACCACCCAATGCCCGCCCCTCAGTTCTCCCTTCTTCTTTTATTTTTATTTTTATTTTTATTTTTTTTAATATGTCTTTATTGATTTCAGAGAGAGGAAGGGAGAGGGAGAGAGAGAGATAGAAACATCAATGATGAGAGTCATTGATCGGCTGCCTCCTGCACGCCCCCTGCTGGGGATCGAGCCCACAACCGGGGCATGTGCCCTGACTGGGAATCGAACCTCGATCTCCTGGATCCTAGGTGGATGCTCAACCGCTGAGCCACGCCTGGCCGGGCATCTCCCTTCTTCTTTTAAACAGTGTTCACAAACTCATTTTGTAAGTACTTCAGCATCTTCTATCTTAGACTTCTCCCAGAAATCTCGATTCATTTGTTAATGAATCTAATCTGCTTGGACAATGATTTGATAGGATGAAAATGAGTAAAAAGCCCTGATCATCTCCACAGACCTAGGTTTTCAATTAGAAAACATGTGGAATAAGGTTTTGTTTGATTTCAGTCTTAATAATGGAATGATCTGCCTCAGTTTCCAGTAGCTCAGGAAGAAAGGGAATTTATAGTTGAACAGTGGGTGGGGTTGTAGGCGACATTGGGCTAATGTTGGGGAGATCTTTAAAGATGACCTGTAGCCTCAATGCCTGAAGGCAAAAGAAAAGTTACCATTTATATCCATATAATAGAATATTATTCAGTGAAAAACATGCTTATGAAAAGAATATGCTGTTAACAAGGAATAGTTCTTATTATATAATACTGTGACATTATAATGGTGCAGTCTTGAATTATATGCAAATTTAATTTTCTAAGATAAATGTTTTTAAAAGTCATTGTACACATGAGTACAAGTGAAGTAGTACTAATCCAGTATTATCTAATCACCAGTCCCACTCCTAAAAGGTGACTGCCCTCAACTCTTTTGTTAATTTTTTAATTACAGTTGATTTTCAATATTAGTTTATATTAGTTTTAGGTGTACAGTATAGTGGTTAGATAATCATACAATTTACAAATCGATAACCCAAGATATTTCAAGTACACGTGGCGCTATAGTTATTATATTGTTGACTGTGTTGCCTATACTGTATTTTACATCCCAGTGGCTTTTGTAATTGACAATTTGTTCTTCTTAATCAATCCTTTCATCTTTTTCACCCAGCCCCCCAACTTCCTTTCTCCCTCAAATCCTGAATATGGTTTAATTGCTATTTTTTGATGAATCAATTTTACTCCTTACCTCTTGACTTACTGCAGAGTGGAAGAGACATTGTACTCCCGTATTGTACCCTTCATTTCCTCTGATTCTGTTATTAATTATATCACAATTTTTGGTGAAAGCAACAGTATATGGAATATTAGTACTGTAAGTATCACTCGCTGCTGAGCTCTCTCGGCTTTATTCTGTTATGACTTTTCATTTTTCCTGAGGTTAACTCCCCCCCCCCATTTGCTTAGTTATCCATGTATTTTTATCCAAAACCTCCAGAATCACTGTCACATGCCAGTTAATATGTTTGCCATCTGACCAAGCACATCATTCCTTTTGAACATGGAGGCTTTCACCTTCGTTCCCTTTTTAGTCCTGCCCTCTCTAGGCCTGCTGCAGTTTTCCCAAGACTTCCCTTTTTCTGCTTCCTGGGGTTTCCTTCACTGTTTTCCTGTGTTAATTTACCTATTTCTTGACTCTCATGTCGTCGTCTTTTCTGGTTTACTCCCCCATTCTGGTGGAGCACATCATCTGGTAGTTTCCTAAGACATTGTGCTTGTGTCCTTTTATGTCTAGGAATGTCTTTTTTCAATCCTTACAACAGAATGATAGTTCATTTATAGAATTCTTGGTCAGAATTTCTTTTTTACATAAGAATATTGAAGACTTGTTCTTATTTCTTATTTTTAATAATGTTGTAAAAAATCCCATTGCCTCTCTTTTATATGATATACTCTTCTCTGGATGCTTTTAATGTCTTCTGTTTATCCCTTGTTCTGAAATTTTACTTTCAGTATTTAGAAAAAGAGGAGAGAGAAAGAAGCACATTCGTAGTGTATGACAAGTATTGTGTTAGGCATTTGTATATACAATTCCTCTTAGACTCTGTACCCTCCTGGACTTATGTAGGTAGTGGCAGTGTCCCCGTATAAAAGAGGTAGTTTTGTCTGAGGAAACAGCAACAGGAAGCCCATTGCTTCAGTCATGCTTGTTTACGGTCCTCTACTTGCACCCCAGACATGCAGCCCCTCTCTATAGGTTTGCTGTTGTTCACTTCTTCTCCCCTTATTTATTTCCTTCTCCCTTTCCTTCCCAAAAACACTGTTTAAAAAATTAATCAAGTCCTATACGTGATTGTTGTTCCAGGAGTCAGTGGTGTTCAGTGATGTGTGCATAGACTTCTCTCGGGAGGAGTGGGAATACCTGAATGATGATCAGAGAGATTTGTACAGAGATGTGATGTTGGAGAATTACAGCCACCTGGTCTCAATGGGTAAGGACGTCTGTCCGTATTAATTCAGATTCTGTCCTCAGAAGGTCTGCTTCCTCCAGGCTGAAATACCTTTCAAGTAACCAGTTAGATTTCTAATCCAGTTCCCAGAGGAATGTTTTTTAATATTATGAGGGAGAAAGAAGAAGCTGTGTTGAGTTATGGGGAAAGTTTCAGATCCTCATTATGTTTCATAAATCTGTTATACCTTTCTTTGACTCTTTCTTAATGAAGGAACTGGATTTGAATTCTGGGACATTCTTATCATAAACATGTCTCATTACTTCTTTTATAAGCAGGACATTCTATTTCTAAACCAGATGTGATCTCCTTCTTGGAGCAGGGGAAGGAGCCCTGGTTGGTTGACAGAGAAGTGACAGGAGGCCAGTGTCCAGGTAAGTGAGGCATGGCAGTAATGACCCAGTTGTTCAGTGGAGAGGCTATACCTTTGAGATGCTCTCTGGGAAGCTCCCCCAAAAAGCTTAAGGCCTGTTGTGCAAAAGAACCTTTTCAGCATGAGCTTTCAAGTGACCTCACCTTTCCCCTTACTGAACACATTGCCTGTTCTTTCCCTCTTCCACTTCTCTCGTAATTTTAGCCAGCTGGTGAATATCTAATGATATTCCTTTCTATCCATATTTTGGATCTAGTTTCTTTTCAGCTTCTCATCCTCTTTTATATTAGCCTTTATAAAAGCATCACTGTCTCCTGAAATATATTCTTTTCTACATTGCCAAAGACTTATTTTCTTTAGAGTTTTTTAGATACAGTAGTTCATACACTCATTGATTCAGTTACACTTTTAACAAGCTTTTACCGATTTTCTAATTTACTTTTCTAGGTGCTGGAGATAATTAAAAAAAGGGAGTAGGCAGTTATAGAATTTATAGCTTAGTAAAGGTACTAGAACATGTCTATATATAGCTTGTACAAAGTGGAACCACCATGAGAGAGGTGAAAACAGGGAGCTCAGCAGAAAGTGAGGGCTAAAGATGTAGAAGAAGAGTTGATCCATGTAGAAGTCATGGAAGGAGATTTAAGCATCCATGTCATTGACTTCAGATAGACTACTGGAAATAAAGGGTCTGTGCCTCCACTGAGAACTTAGAGCTGGCAAAGATAGAGAGACTTGGTACGAAGGAGGAAAACAGGACAGCACATCACTCAGTATATGTTTATTGAGTACCCGCTGCACACCCAGCACTACTCTTAACACTGAGCGTACAGTAGTGAATAGAACAGGAAAAAACTTTATTCTCAGAGCTTACCCTCCAGCGCAGGGATAGATACACAAATAAGTGAATACATAATATATCAGGTAATAGTAAGTGCTGAAAGGAAAGCAAAGTGGAGAGAGGGGGTAGAGGGTGCTATTTTATGTGACATGGTAAAAGCAGCTTTTTCCATTAAGGTGACATTGTGCAGAGACCTGAAGAAGTACAGCGGTACTTCTGGTGTAGTTTTCAATCTGAGGATTCATCTCTTTTTTGGTAATAGGAAGTCCTTGGCAGTCACCTCTTCAAATATTACCTCGTTACTATTTCCTCTTTTCTCTCTTAAGCTCTTGTTAAGAAACATTAGAACATCTGGGTCATCTCCAGTACCTTTTACTCCTCACCTGTTTTTCCATTTATGCTGCTTCTACATAGAATTTTGTGGCTTAATTTGTGTTGATCCACTAATATAATCTTTAGCTCTGAGCTTTTGGTTCTTTAACCTATCCATTAAGTTTTTTATTTAAAAAATAGTATAGTTATTTATTAAATGTAGTTATATACACAATAGGGTATATATAATATATAATTAACATAAAATTATAAGATAACATCTCTAGATTTGCATGTATAAGAGATTTGCTAGGAAATACACCTAGGAATACAATTGCTGGGTCTTGGCATACATTCAGCTTTACTAGGTAATGCTAAACTATTTTTCAAGTATTTGTATCACCTTCTCTCCCTGTAATTGATATTCTAAGATTTTTTTCATTTTCTTAACAATCTGGTGAATAGAAAGTCTTATTTCATTGTTTTAAATGATTTGTAGGAATTTCTTATATATTTTCTAGATACTAATTTTTAGCCAGTAACATGTTTTATAGACATCTGTTCTAGTTGTAGCTTCTTTATTTACTTTCTTTATGATATCTTTTGATGAACTGTAATTCTCTGTGTTAGTATGGTTAAATTATATAGTTAGTAGATAAATTATGTATAGTTTATTAAAAATTATACTTTTTTCCTGTATGCTTCACACCTTTGGGGGTTTTAAGAAACCTTTCCCTAGCCCAATTTTCTCTGTTTTGTATGCTTTTACTTTCTTATCAAAGTCCTATTAATGTAACTGGAATTGATTTTTATGAAAGGTGTGAAATAGAGACCAGTTGTAATTGTTTCCCATATAGAAAACAACTTACCTATGTCCTACTGAATGAAAAGCCTATTTGTTTTCCACTGATCCACAATGTTTCTTTTGTCATATATTAAAATTATATGTATACATAGTTCTCTCTTGTCCTATTGGCTTTTTTATCTATACCTGTCCTAATTACTCTTGCTTTTATAAAACATTCTTATCTCTGGTAGGACAGATCCCTCCACCTTTCTCTTCAGAAATGTGCAGTTATACTTCTCTTTTTTGGTCTTCCATATGAACTTTAAAAGTACATTAAGTAAAGTTTCATTAAAAATGTTGAATTTTTAAAATACCCATTTGTGATAAAAATCTCTCAACAAAGTAGGGGTAGAGGGAACATACCTCAAGATAATAAAGGCCATATATGGCAAGCCCACAGCTAACATTATACTCAGTGGCAAAAGCTAAAAGCTTTTTCTCTAAGATCAGGAACAACACAAGGATTCTTGCCAATTTTATTTAACATAGTACTGAAAGTCTTAGAGCCCTTAGGTAAGAAAAAGAAAGGAAAGGCATCCAAATTGAAAAGGAAGAAGTAAAACTGTTTCTATTGGCTGATGGCATGATATTGTATATAGAAAACCCTAAAGATCCCTACCAAAAACCACCAAACTGTTAGAAGTAGTAAATGAGTTCGGTAAAATTGCACAATCAATATTCAAAAATCAGTTGTGTTTCTATACACTCACAACGAACGCTCAGAAAGAGAAATTTCAAAACAATTTCATTTACAATTGTATCAAAGAGAAAGAAATACCTAGGAATAAATATAATCACTGAAAATTCTAGGACACTGATGAAAGAAATTGAAGAAGATACAAAGAAATGGAAAGATATTCCATGCTCATGGATGGGAAGAATTAGTATTGTTAAAGTGTCCCTATGACCCAAAGCAATCTACAGATTCAGTGCCATCCTTATCAAAATTCCAGTGGCAACTTTGAGAGAAACAGAAACAATCCTAAAATTAGTATGGAACCACAAAAGACCCTGAATAGCCAAAGCAGTTTTGAGAAAGGAGGAGGAGGCACCTGGAGGCATCACACCTTCTAATTTCAAGCTATAGTGGACTTTTGAGCAATGGTTTGAACTTGTTGTCCACTTAAATGTTTAAACCTGCGTTGTTCATGGGTCAACTGTATTCCTGAACCATGGTCGGGAATTCACGTGGGTGGAGGGCTTACTGAAATTATATGCATATTTAAAAAAAAATATCTTTATTGATTTCAGAGAGAGGAAGAGAGGGAGAGAGAGAAACATCAATGATGAGAGAGTCATTGATTGGTTGCCCCCTGCATGTCCCCTGCTGGAGATCGAGCCGGAAACCTGGGCATGTGCCCTGACTGGGAATTGAACCTTGATCTCCTGGATCATAGGTCGATGCTTAACTGCTGAGCCACACCAGCTGGGCTATATGCATATTTCTAACTTTTTGGGTGATCACTCCTAACCCCTGTGTTGTTCAGGGTCACCTGTATATTACAAAACTATAGTAATCAAAACAGTATGGTAATGGCATAAAAACACACATAGATGGTCAATAAATTTATTTAAAAAGGAGCCAAGAATATACAATGGGGAAAGGACAGTTTCCTTAATAAATGATATTGGGGAAACTTAACTAACATGCAAAAGAATGAAACTGGACCACTATCTTACATCATTCACAGGAAATTGACTCAAAATGAATTAAATACTTGAACAAAAGACCTGAAACCATAAAACTCCTAGAAGAAAACATAGGTGTAAGCTCCTTGACAGCCTTGGATTTTTTGGATTGACACCAAAAGCAAAGGCAACAAAAGCAAAAATAGACAAGTGGGACTAAAAAGCAAACTAAAAAGCTGCCCAGCAAAGAAAACCATCAAGAAAATGAAAAGGCAACCTATTAGAATGGGAGAAAATATTTGCAAATTATATGTTAAGGGTTTAGTATCTAAAAAATATATACAAAACCCATATAACTCATTAGCAGAAAACCAAACAATACAATTAAAAGATAGAAGACAAAAAAACAAATGGAAATTTCAGAACTGAAAAATACAATGGCCAAAATTTTTAAAAACAACACTCACTGGATAGACTAAATAGGAGAATGGAGGGGAAACTAGTGAACTTGAAGGTAGATCTGAATTAATTAGCCAATGTGAATAACAGGGAAACAAAGACTGAAAACTTAAAAAGAATACAACTTCAGGGATATGTGGAACAATAACAAAGGTTAACAATTTTGTTATTAAATTCTCAGAAGGAGAGAAGAAAGTTCAGGACTGAAAAAACTATCTGAAGAAATAATGGCTTACCAAAATTGGTGAAAGATACACCAATTGGAGAAGCTGAGCTGCCCCAACAGGGTAAACCCAAAGGAATCCATGCTCAGACATACCATAATCAAGTTACTGAACATGTATGACAAAAAGTATTGAAAAAACATAGAAAATAATGCATTACTTGTAGGGAAACTGATTTGAATGAATGGATTTTGCTTCATAAACCGGGTAGGAAGTTGAACAGTATTTTATTATACAGAAGAACTGTCAACCGAGAATTCTATATCCAGCAAAAACTCCTCAGGAATGAAGGTGAAAACAAGGAAAGCAATATTACAGATGTACATGGCAACTGGCTCCAGCCTGAGGATTCATGTGGGACTAAGCAGTAGTAGGGACAGTGACTAATGAGAGAGAGGCTATACCCTGTCTCAAAGGGGTAAGCACTTGTTAAGGCCAGGAGACAGCTGTCATGTGAGAATGCAGGCCCAGTGATGCCAGATAATCCAATCTTTCAAGGAAAGCCAGAAATCCAGATTTCTCTATTAAATCTGATATCTCAAGGCTGACCACTATTCATACCTTTAGAGAATTGTTGGGGCAACACCAAACACAAACATGTGAGTAGGATACAACCTGGTTCATCTAGGTTTTAAGTTCTATAGAGTTTTCTTTTCTTCCTTGAAGCACAGAAGTTTTACCTAGATATA